CGCGTTCTGCCCGCCTGCACCTATAATGCTCGCTAATTGAATGAAGAAAGAGGAAGTCTACGCTCTTGAGAATGGTGGATTCTGATTGGCTGGCGGCGTGCGAGCCTTTCGGTTGCTCCAAACTGTCAGTGTTAATCAAGTCTCATCTCTTAACACTGGGCTGGTAGTTATCAATGAGGTTGAGATTAATATTCGGGGCGAAACAGATGATAAATCATTTGTGCGTAATTAGTGCACACGGCAAGGTTACAGCTGACATGAATTTTTATCTTAATTACGTGGGAAATTTGTTCCATTAATTTAATTTGGCTTGCTCGAATGAGTCCGACAACTAACAAAGTTAATCTTACACCTGTCACTTGGCAGCAGGACAGGAAAGGGCTATGTGGGTTTGGAAGGAGGAAGGAAATGGGTTCTTCATATTACTGGCTGTTTTAAGTGGTGTGTGTGTGTGTGTGGTGTGTGCGCGCGTTTGTGTGTGTGTGGGTCTGTGTGAGTGAGTGCGCGTATATGTGCATGTCTGTGTGTGTGGCCATAAAAAAGCCAAACAGGAGCACCTCAGCCTCTGCCCATCTGTTACAGTATTTCCCCCAATTCACCCACTCTCTTAGTTTACAACTAGGGCATCATGTTGTTGGAAAATTATCACCTTGATTTGTAGAACTGACGTATCGAATCAGACATTTTGCAGTGGAGGGTTAAATGAGCTCCGTTTTATGAGAGTCACAGAGTGTGACAGTACATTGAGTGTATTATTATTTCTGGTGTCACCAGACAGTGTCAACGCTGTTCATTGGCTCTCATCAGGGAGAGGAGGCCTCCACAAGGACCCTGTCATGGATAGCTGCTTCAAATAATTAGCATACTTGAATCAAAAGTAGGAATAGGACAATAACCCTGGAATTATTCAATCAGATGCCTCATTTTTCTCAGTACCTAAGAATAAGATAATGTAGTAGCAATATTGCAACAGTTTTCGTGAACATAATATCGAAATGGACAACACAGAAAACAAGATAGCAAAATAGTATGACTTCAAATCAAATCATAGTTTTAAAGTGGATGTGCTTTGGTCAGAATATGTATGTTTTTAAGTAGTACTAATAGTCTAATCGTGCCATAATAACAAACACAATAGTACTACAGGAATTAACTGAATTGAATAAACTCAAAACTTCACTACCGATTAGAAGAGAAGAGGGAACATGAAGGGAGCATCAGACATCCCACTCTCTGAGGGTGCCTCGGGAGTTGGGATATGCAAAAAATATATATAATTCACACATGCGTATACTCCACACTTGTACATGTGTGAAATAGGACAAATATATGCACCCACACAATGATTTTTTATTAATATTACATTCACGTTCGATATTAAGCCATGATAATTACACGACCAATCCCGTGACACCGAAGGTTAACCGAACGGGAAAGCCCCGACAAAGACTGATTTAGAAACAAAGGGGCCTTAATCGAATTCACCTGCTCCTCAGTCATTCAAACTGGCAACTCTATTACCTGGCGGTGATTCACAGTCCATTATGGCCTCCGCCATTCTAATAGAACGTCTATCCCGCTGTAATACAGACGCCTCAGGCTTGGAGACATTTGTCAAGCCTGTGATTTCACCTGGAAACTAGGTTTAACCCCACTTGGAAACTAGGTTTAACACTTTCTCTGGCACGGAGCAGCTCTCAGCTCCTCACACGTCACTTACCCTGGCACCGAGGAGGACGAGCTAATGATTGACTGATTCAGAAAGAGACACTCAAGAAAAGAAATGGGGAGGAGGGATTGGTAGGTTCTAGGTTACATTGCTGTCTTGATATTAGAGCAGATATTGACGCCTAAAGATGCTGCTGCTGCTGATGATGATGATGATGATGATGAGGAGGAGGAGGATGAAGAGGATGAGGATGCTGAGTAGCACAAGTAATAGTATTGATTTTAAGTTTTTCACAAATTTTACCTCAGACTACAGCTTCAAGACACTGTGTCAGCATATAATGCCATAGGGAGTCCCTGAGCTGCTCTTTAAACCAGGTGAAGTCAGGTTGAAGCCAGGTGAAGGAGGCTCCCTGATTAGAAACAGACTACTGGAGAACATCTCCTCTCTCTAAGTTCTGCTTCATTGGCCAGGTGATGACCTCTAAGAACTGGAGAGAACATCATTATGGAGCTGTCTCAGTAATAAGAAGACAAGAAGGAAAGGAGGACAGATGATCCTAGCCTTGGCCAAGTAGCCAAGGATTTCAGGCTCTGTAGGACAGTAGAAACACCAAACTATGGATCATTAATACAGTGTCTTAGAATCCTATGTGGGCACTTGAATAATGAAATAAATCCATTAGAAAAAATCACTATAATCCAGTGTTTTTTGGGAGGTCAATATATAAGCAAATGTAGTCCTACTTCTATTAAATGAACGTCTTCACAGTGAATGTGCTGCTATTGTTTTCACAGTGGTGCTGTATTTTGATTATATTACATTAATAATTCATTAATAACTGCATAGAAATACATGCATGTTATTCCCTTCTGGTGAATGTATAAGGATTACATTACAAATACAATTTGACTTGATAGATTAGGCTATCCAGCATTTAGCTGAGGCTTGGACAAGATGTGGACAACAGCGCTCTCCTGTGGTGAGCGAAAATACTCAAACGCATCTGTCCAAAACTAAATAGTTAGATTAGAGCACCACCTTTCGGTGAAAAGGCACTGTGCCCATATAATATGTTCAGTACTATAATTTCATCCTTACCTACAGTCTTTATCTCTAGTCTATTCAGTGTCATGCAAGACAACATGCATGTATTATAACACTGCGCTCATATCTCTATTTCATTCATAGATTGTTCCATATTTATAAATGTCAAGTACTTAGTTAATTTGTTTGCAAATGGTTGGTGAATGCTTACTGCTGAGCTGTCTATCTAAGCGTCAGTCCCCATCACTGTGCCCAGTTTCCACCCCTGGCATTGTTAACACCATAGTTGAGGTGGCACTGGCAGATGTATCCACCATTACGGCTCTGGCTCTATAAATCCCTGGTGCCTCCATTGCTTATTAATCTAGCAGTGTGTTTAGGGCGACTGGGACACAGATGGCATTGAACTAGAGCCACTGGACCCGTGCTAGCTCTTCAGTAGGCCTGGCTAGTTGTCACCAATGAGGTGTGAAGGTGTTTAGAGCTAAGCAGACCTCCAGACCTCCATGTCCTGCAGAGTACCAGATAAGCAGGCTCTTTCTATCTCGCTTTAGGGGAGCCTGGAGGGGCTGTCTAGGCTAATTAGAGAGCCAGGAATCAGTGGTTATATTACACATACTGTACTAACATCATATGAATAGTAAACTGTAATCTATCAACTGGAATGAAAAGAAGGATACTCCTGTTTGGCAGGAACTGGCTGATAATGTCGTCTGTCCCTCATTGTAAGAATGTAGATGGAATTCATTTGTATTGAATCAACAGACAATCTATTGTCAATCTATTTCATGTTCAGTGGCTAATGTGTACATGTGTTCACATACAAGCCTGAAGACTGTGTTGTTCTAAATGTACTCATGTGTCACACACTTGTGTCAAAGGGTTTGTGCTTTTAGCAGCTGAAATACTGTCCAAGTGGACTGTCTGGTTCTCTGTTTTTGGAATTACAAACTGTAGTAAGAGACCTGATTGGTTGACTAGAACGAGATGGCTTGATGCAACCTGGGCATAACAGGTGCCCCACTGAAAGCTGCAGCTATTCAGTACTCATGGAGGTCCCTCCTTGGTCCCTCCCCCTTCCTTCCCACCCACCCTCAGTAGCTGAGAGCAGCTGCTTCAGCATGCAGTAGAGCAGGTCTGAAGTAGCCCTGGCTCCAGATGTTTCTGCTGGGAGGTATTAGTGGAGGGTCATGCTCTGGAATTTACTGCAAATCTTCCCCATCCTTCACTGCCACCAGAATGCGCAGACCCCCCTGGAGTTTGGCCCTGAGACGAGTTGGGGGGAAGCATTTCAGTGTGACACCTACTACATGTTTGTATGCACTAGCATTAGGCCTAGGCTATATGTGTATGAGGTATGCTGAGTTTGGGAAATCATTGATTGATAATGGTTTACTGACAGTGATGGCTCCCACATGTGTGACAGGTGCGGAGACTAAATTGAGATCCGTTTACCCCATCTAGTGAAATAAAAACCTTGTTAAAGCTCAACTCTGTTTGCTTTGTAAAGCCAGGTGGTCATGGCGACGGCCACTTACAGGTCAGAGGGCGAGGGAGCGGGGCATCTATTACTCGACACTGACGTGCATTATTTCCACCGCCAGGTGCGGCGAGCGCTGTGACAGCGATTGTTAATGGATGGTATGTCACTAATATGGCCAGATGTCTTCACATATGGTTCCCCCACCGCCACACCGTTTCATTGGCGTGAACGAATTAGGCACGCGGCCACGGAACGGAAACTCAGACACAACTGGAGCGTATTCATTAGGGCACATCGTAGGAAACCGTTTCGCAAGAACAAAAATACATGTCTTATTGGAGGAGTTCAGGTGTTTCAGTCAGTTTTCCTCAGTTTGGTGCCTAATGAATACAACCCTGATAATCAAAAGTGATAGGCCTACTTCCTCCCTCAGAACTGTCTGTATGGATATTCCGTGAGAAAAACGATACCAACATGGTGTTTAGAGGCGGGTCTCCATTATGGAATGTATAAAACTGTATCCTATTACACCACATGTTTACTGAAGAAAATAGACAGGTTGGTTGAACAGCTGAAAAATATAGTCATACAGCAGGAAAATAGTTGTGTCCAAAATGGCACCCTATTCCTTATAGTGAAATACTTTTGACCAGAGCCCTATGTGTTGTGGTCAAAACTAGTACACTACACAGGAAATAGAGTGCTATTTGGGACGCAAACCTGGTTTGAGGAGTATTAGCTAATGACAAGAGCTGAGCCTTGGTCACGGTGAAAGGATGTCAATTGTTGAGTCATAAATCCTCATCTTTTCATCCTCTCGATTTGTCTTCTCTGAGGTAAGAGGATCAGGTTTGCAGAGAAGCACGCCATCAGGCCCACAGGGCTTTCATTCTCTCCCCTGTCTGGTCTTGCCTGGAGAGCCACAGCAATAGGACAAACTGTTATTCTGTAGCGAAGACTGATGGTGCAGCAAGTTGAGCAGTGCTTTCACAATATCAGAAAGGAAGATATATTGAGCAATGCAGATATGGCTTGGCTTTATGTCTGTACTGCTTACGTTTTGCTTTCGGCTTTGCTATCCCCATCTTTACCTCAGGATGGGATTGGAAGCATCTTCTTTTGTCATTTTCTACTTCTTTGTCATTTTCTAATGTCCTTCCTTATAGGAAACATATTACATATATTTCTGGTCACTGGTCTTATCACAAAAATAACTTCATGTTTAATAGTATTAAAAACCTCGACCACAAAAATACATATGTTAGCCGGCTGCTGTAAAGCGTTGAGACATACATTATGTGTAAGGGTTAACGTTGGTAGAACTATCTCTCTCGGTAGATGAGATGAGGGCACTTCAACACTAGATGGTGGTCTGGTCTTACTAATGGGCTACAAAACAAATCAACAAAGTTGTACATATTACTCACAAGTGTGGAATACTGAACCAACATTATGGCACAAAGGCTGCGTTTACACAGGCAGCACAATTCTGATCATTTTTCCCACTAATTTGTCTTTTGACCAATCAGATCAGCTCTTTTGCCAATAATTTGACAAAATATCTGAATTGGGCTGCCTGTCTAAACTCCATTGTGACTCTCTCAGGGCTATGACTTAGTTGAAACAGGTTATTTGTATGCAGTGCAATCAGTGCAACCAATGACCATAGTGAGAGGTAACATAATCTTAGTGGTATACTCTGTGCTTTTCAAACAATTCATATCTGGCTTCCATTCAATAATATCCAAAAGCATTTAATGAAATACCCTTTTTTGAGTGTTTATCGAGTGTAGTTTGTCTGAGGCTGAGGGAGGAATCAACATGCAGCCCAACTGAGCCACATTCCCTCTCCCACTCCCCACCACAGAGTGAGACATCCAACCAGGCAGGGTTATAGCCTGACAGATTGAAGCATTAAGGAAGGCCAGGGCCCCGTACAATGACATGGAATCTGAGCCTTGGAAGGGCATTGGGAAACTACTTGCAAGCCCATTGATCCCATTTGTTTAGATGGCCGGCTTATGAACTGATATCTATTTCAGCCATTTATACAACATAGAAACATAGCATAGGTTTATGTCAAATCCTCTTCAGTACAATGTGTGGCCTCCATAGTGTTCATCAGCATTCCAGTTAAAACTCTGCAGTGAAAGGCCTTCAATACACTCTTAGAAAAAAGGGTTCCAAGGGGTTCTGCGGCTGTCCCCATATAAGAGCCATTTTTGGTTTCAGGTAGAACCCTTTTGGGTTCCAGGTAGAACTATTTTGGGTTGTGTAGAACGTTCTGTGGAAAGGGTTCTACGTGGAACCCAAAAGGGTTCTACCTGGAACCGAAAGGGTTCTACCTTGAACCAAAAGTGGTTCTTCAAAGGGTTCTCCTATGGGGACAGCCGAATAACGTTTTTGGTTCTAGATACCACCTTTTTCTGTAGTGCTGACATCCTTCTTTGAGCCACAAACCAAAACACTAGCTTACTTAGAACAATGAAGAAATAGGTCAATGGAATGTACAGTACATAATGTAAAGCACATGTAAAGAACAATACTGTGTGTCTACTCAGATTTAGAAGGTACAAAGGGCTTGGAGATATCTTCAAATGTTTTCTCCTCAAGATAATCTAGCCAATATAGTCTGAATAAGGCCATTTGTATGCATGCATGCACACACTGTCAGTATAGGTTGTGAATTGTTGTATTAATTCAATGACATACCAAGATGATAGAAGTGGAAGGAGGTGTTACGTAACATTAAGAAATATACATACAGCTAATCATTTATGGTTGTGGCAACATCTATTCCTAAGGAGAGCCTAAGGAGATGCGTGACTTAGTTTTAGACTTCACATTACATACACAGGGCAAGTGGCAAATGAGTAGGACGCGGAGTGGGGAAACAGACCCTCAGGGCCTGCAGAGGCTAAAATGGCCACAACAACTCATTATTATTTGCAGCATTGATACAGGTGTAGGATCTTAATTTGATCACCCTGTTGCAAGATAACTTTCCTGCATGAAGGACATTTTCAACATGTAGTGTATTTGAGGTTTAAAAAGGCTTCTGAAGTTTGTAATTTCCACTTTGAAATTTAAGACTTGACTTTCCCTTACGAAAAATGTATCAACCCCTACAAAAATAGCCATTAATTATAATCCACATAATAATTCACATTTCCTGCTGTTGCAGGATTATTTTCCTGTTGTAGCAAACTGGTTCAAATTATGATACTACATCTGTATAGGGGCTGCAACTGTAAAAACATGAGGAATATGGGGGTAGAGGAGGAAAAAAGCATAGCTGTTGACAGAGAAAAATGTTCTAGCTTTTGCTTTCTGCTCAAAATCTCTCTCACAGACCTTCACCAGAACTGACAGTGGACATAATAATATTCTCAAGGTTATGGGAAGGATAGCCTCAGGGCCAAGTTATTTGTGCTATCGTACCAACTCCTTGTTACTCATTGTCATGACAAACAATATTTGGCTTGTCAATGAAAGCAATGGAGTTGGCAAGAGCACAGACAGATCTGGGACCAGACTATAGGAAGGAGGCTTCAGGTGTAAGAATGAGAAAAGGATGTATTGATGCTAGCTAGACCTTACAGATGCTACATATACTGTATGATAAGATGTATTCTGGAGATAAGCAGCTGTTGTGTTTTGAACAATACAATAAACCAATTCAGCTAGCACAGTTTAGGCTCTTCAGAGATCCATGTGTAAAAGAGTCCTCTGGATAAGTGGCTAGGATTGCTTATAATAGGCTAACATGCTAACAAACCATGCAGTGCTATAGTCAATGTCCATTTTACATAGTATCAGCCACGTTGGAATTGTATTCCTTTCTAGGGTGGTGAGAGCGACCCCCTATGTCTCAATGATGAATGACCTCGTATCATCGACTTTAAAAAGACAGACAGAAACCCTAAATGCATGAATAATAAAGTGAATCCATCGTGCTACAATGGGATCTCCCCATGTAGAGATGGGAGAAGTGTGCTATTGACATTTGGCTCTGTATCCCTCCACATTGCTCAAGCTCAAGGCCTATTTTGTAGCCTGGTTAAACCAAACTGAATGCTGCGCTCACCATTGGCTCTGAGGCTACCTATTTTGTACTTTCCTTCTCTCAAATAGGTACATTCAGTCAGAGGAGACGCAGTATCAAGCTGACTCACAGGGCAGTTTAATTTGTTCCTGTAAAGTAATTAAGTCTCTCTCAGATAGTGTATGTGTCACAAATGCCACCCTATTCCCTGTATAGTGCACTACTTTTAACCAGAGCCCTATGGTTCTGCAGGTAGTGTACTAAAAAGGGTGCCATTCAGGACACAAACAGTCTGTCTGTAAAATAATCACACAGGTCACTGGCTCGATCTATGGGACTACAGTCGAAAATTAGCCGGCTGGCTAATCAGGCACAGACATTTTCACACATGTTGATTAATGTGCATTGCCCCTGTCAAATACACCTAATAAAATCAAGTAAAGATGAATGGGAAACAACTAGTGTAACAGGGCTATCATACCCAATGTGCATTTGTTTGTATTGCATGCAATAAATGAATGAGAACAGCAATAACCTCCAACCTGTTGCACTCATAACCTACCATTTGAACCACTGAGACACTGAGTAGGAGGCAGTCTTGGCAATGGATACTCAAGCAGGATTAAAGACCTCAGATTCACTGTCGTTCCAGACATCTGAATACCGTGCAGAATATATCCTATTTGAGCCTTATATTAACTTGGCTCTCAGATGGAAAAATCTACAGAAAGTCTCTCAATATGAGACCAAGAGAGACCTTTAATGGACATTTCGTTGGCAGAATACAGTTGTTTCTAAAGTTCTTTATTTTTCAATTAATCCAAAGACAATGGCTATTATTCTAAAGTGTAACAAACCCCAGCAAAAACAAAGACCATAAATTCATACAATATTCAAATAGATCAACCCCTGCGACACATATCTAAAAAATATACACACTGTATACTGTAAACGTTCAGCTGAAAACAGCATATCATTAGAAGACAAGAAAAATAGCACTTTATCAAATAATATGGCGTTATATTGTATATATAATATCAGAAACTGGAAGTGAAATTGAAGCATTATTAGTGCACAGACAGGAATGGGATACAACAGACAGAAAGCGGTAGAGTTGTGTTGATGATGCTTAGTACAATTGGAATCATGTGGATGAACGTGGGCTTCAACAAAAGCATGCTTTCACAGTATAACGATACAGCTGATGGTAAGAAGCTGTGAAGGGAGAAGCCAGTGTATCACTGAGTGGAATTTTGATATGTAAAAAATAATGTTTAACCCTCAGATTTTGTCCATCAATCATTGTGCCATTCTACAAATAGAAAGCCTCCATGATTTGTAGTCCTGCATTTGCAAGCACGCACACACCAAACACACACACACACACATCACTTTACCCCACATCAGCTATGTCTTGCCTACATTGGACACCTAATCAACAGCCAAACAGCCCTCGTGAGGGCAGAGCAGTCATTGCACTGCTTCAACATAGCGATCCCAGATCCACACACGGCCCGTCTGCACGTCCTCCTGTCAGTCACCATTTAACCCTAACCCTGTCAGTCACCATCTAACCCTAACCCTGTCAGTCACATCTAACCCCAACCCTGTCAGTCACCATTTAACCCTAACCCTGTCAGTCACCATCTAACCCTAACCCTGTCAGTCACATCTAACCCCAACCCTGTCAGTCACCATCTAACCCCAACCCTGTCAGTCACCATCTAACCCTAACCCTGTCAGTCACCATCTAACCCCAACCTTGTCAGTCACCATCTAACCCCAACCCTGTCAATCGCCATCTAACCCCAACACTGTCAGTCACCATCTAACCCCAACCCTGTCAGTCACCATCTAATCCTAACCCTGTCAGTCACCATCTAACCCCAACCCTGTCAGTCACCAACTAACCCCAACCCTGTCAGTCACCATCTAACCCCAACCCTGTCAGTCACCATCTAACCCCAACCCTGTCAGGCACCATCTAACCCCAACCCTGTCAGTCATCATCCTCTTTGCCTATCTCCTCAGGTAGCGGTGTGCTGAAGTCCCGAAAACATGTTCTGAAGTAGCCAACCAGGGACTCAGACAGGTGCTGCTGGCTCTGCAGGGACAGGAAGTGGCCCTCGTCTGGGTAGAGCTGTCTCAAACAAAGGTCAAAGGTCAAACAGAAGGTCAGGATAGTGCTGTCCAGCATTGGGACTATCATTCCTGTAGTGAAGTGTGGTTACTCTTCTATCAGTTAGAAGGAACAAGAAAGTAACTCAATGTTTTTCCTGAGAGGTGTGTGTGTGTGTGTGTGTGTGTGTGTGTGTGTGTGTGTGTGTGTGTGTGTGTGTGTGTGTGTGTGTGTGTGGACGTGTTTAACTATTCTTGTGGGGACCATAAGTCCCCACAAGAATAGTAAACAAACAACATTTGACCAACAGGGGACATTTTGTTAGTCCCCACGAGGACAAATGCTATTTCTAGGGGGTTTAGGGTTAAGGTTAGAATTAGTGTTATGGTTAGAATTACGTTAAGGGTTAGGGTTAGGAGCTAGGGTTAGTTTTAGGGTTAGGAGCTAGGGTTAGGTTTAGGGTTAGGGTTAAGGTTAGGTTGTTGTGTTAAGGTTAGGGTTAGGGTTAGGGTTAAGGTTTGGTTAGGGTTAGGGTAAGAGTACGGGTTAGGTTTAGGATTAGGTGTTAGGGAAAATAGGATTTTGAATGGGACTGAATTGTGTGTCCCCACAAGGTTAGCTGTACAAGACTGTGTGTGTGTGTGTTTGGTGTGTGTGTGTGTGTGTGTGTGTGTGTGTGTGTGCATGCGTGCGTGCAAGTGTGGTGGGTAGGTGCATTTATATTGGCTAGCAATCAAAATCACTTCAATAATCACATTATGTAATCACTCATTCAACATTTTCATTCAAATTTGTGGATCACGGCTCATACCTGCATTGTGTAGTTCGCTCCAATTTTGATCAAGTGCTTAATCAACTCTGCTGAATGTTGGAAATGAACATTTGCTGAGAAAGGAACAAGAAAACACCAATTGGTTTAGCAAACTGACTTTGAATACAACACAAGGCCAATCAATGATTATGACTGATTTAGGATGGTCTATTTTCCATTTCAGTTGGACAAAAGGGTCATTACCATCAGCTGTTCCATGAATCAACAGAAAATCCGGTCCTTGCGGTCCTTTCATCATGTTTCCTTGCAGTCCTTTCATATTTGGAAGCACTCTAGAAACCTAAAAGATTATAGATATGGTAGACAATGTAACCTCAGGTGTTCTGTTATTTCTTCCCCTTTATTTGAACAGGGAGTCATGCTGAGACCAAGGTCTCTTTCACCGATGAGCCCTGTATACACATCAGTACACATCAATATACACATCAATATTCACATGAATATTCACATCAATACACGAAAAGCTAAACAAAACTTCAGGTTTGAACAGAAAACAATATCTGAGGGAAAACCAACCACAGCAGTGTACAAATAGTTTGTGAAAAGGTCACGTTATACAACTAGCCTTGTTAAATCGGACTGCTCACCATTGCTTCACTACACAAACAATGGTGAGCACAGTGTTCAGTCTGGTTGAGCCAGGCTACATTACAAGACTGGATCAAACCTTTCTAACACCCCAGGGGATCCAGTGTGTTGCTTCATTAACAGAACAAGACCATGTCTTTTTCCATCTACCTCTGAGGACTGTATGAGTGATACCCCGCTGATTAGTTTATGATCAATTTGACCTACTTCTCTGGACTAGCATCATATTACATTTTAAACCACTCATCTGGGTGCTACTGGAAATGGTTCAAACTGTGTGGTCCACAACCCACTTTCAGGGGAACATTGTCACTGATTACACTGTAATCTCACACAGGAAGTTGTACAACACTGGTTATTATTCTGACTGATGGACAATACCTGGCCCATGAACATATGCGCACACATACATTTGTGCCCGTCCACACACATAAATACGAACACAACACCCCACACACACGCACGCACACACGCTTCAGTGCGACAGTTCCCGCTGTTCTCCAATCTGCTGTGACATACTGTCGAACAAAGAATAGAAGACCATCAATAATAACAACAGATGGACTGTGATAAACAACTTACTTGATATCTGTTGTCATTCTTTGACGTCAGGCCAAAGTATCGCTCTGAAAATGCTGAAGCTGCATATAGAGAAAGTAGACAACATTTCAAAAATATATTCAGTTCTTTCATCTCCAATTTCATTGATAATCAAATTTTTACAATATTAACTGTCGTTTGTTGTGGGAAAATGTACTCACACAAAACACATAGCACCGGTTTCATAATCCTAGATTGAGCCTAAACCTAGATTAAAAAGCTAGTTCAATGGAGATTGTCAATTGAGCTTAATTTTCAATCCAGGAGTAGGTTTAATCTCTGTCAAGGAAACTGACCTAAAGGGTAGGATCATGGAGACATTACTCACCATAGAGTTTCCAGTCAATCACTGGGGAATTAGCAGCTGCACACTTAATCAGTGCAGTGGACCTCAGAAGCATCAAAGTGAGGTAAGCACCATATCCCTGGAAAGAAAAGAACACCTTCACTTGTTGAAAAACACCCGTGAGTGTGAAGCATGGCGATCAACTGAAAGACAGCAGTTAAACTTGCCTTTCCGTAGATTCCGATCCGTGCGCGGTCAATGTATGGGAGTGTCAACAAGTATCTGTAATAAGTAAATTAAAAAAACAACCCCAAAAAACATAATTACTCATTATTTTTACAGACATCTCATGAGGGCTTTAACACAGATGACTGACAGGGAAGTTAAAGAGTGTACAACCATGTCATACATTTGCAATGGATTTCAATGGAAATGGGCAAATATTGTATCATACAGTATTACATCATATCGTACCATATCACATCCTGTCTTATCTTATGGTGTTGTATTATATCATATTGAATGGCATAGCATCGCACTGTATATCGCATTACATCTTATATATTGCATTGTATATCGTATCATATAATACTGTCCATCGCATCGTGTATCATATTGTATTGTATATATATATATACTACCAGTCAAAAGTTTTAGAACACCTACTCATTCAAGGGTTTGTCTTTATTTTTTACCAGTTTCCACATTGTATAATAATAGTGAAGACATAAAATAACACACGGAATCATGTAGTAACCAAAAAAGTGTTAAACAAATCAAAATATATTTTATATTTGAGATTCTTCAAATAGTCACCCTTTGCCTTGATGACAGCTTTGCACACTCTTGGTATTCTCTCAACCAGATTTCATGAGGTAGTAACCTGGAATGCATTTTAATTAACAGGTGTGCCTTCTTAAAAGTTAATTTGTGGAATTGCTTTCATTCTTCATGCGTTTGAGCCAATCAGTTGTGTTGTGACATGTTAGGGGGGGTATACAGAAGATAGCCCTATTTGGTAAAAGACCAAGTCCATATTATGGCAAGAACAGCTCAAGTAAGCATAGAAAAACAACAGTCCATCATTACTTTAAGACATGAAGGTCAGTCAATCCGGAAAATGTCAAGAACTTTGAAAGTTTTCTTCAAGTGCAGTTGCGAAAACCATCAAGCGCTATGATGAAACTGGCTCTCATGAGGACCGCCATAGGAATGGAAGACCCAGAGTTACCTCTGCTGCAGAGGATAAGTTCATTAGAGTTACCAGCCTCAGAAATTGCAGCTCAAAGTTCAAGTAACAGACCCATCTCAACATCAACTGTTCAGAGGAGACTGTGTGAATCAGGCCTTCATGGTCGAATTGCTGCAAAGAAACCAATACTAAAGGACATCAATAAAAATAAGAGACTTGCTTGGGCCAAGAAACACGCGCAATAGACATTGACCGGTGGAAATGTTGTCCTTTGGTCTTGTCACGATCGTCTACCATGAGGAGCGGACCACAGCGCACGTTGCGAGTGAACATAATTTCCATTAATGGTTCCCACGAAACAAAACAAGACGATACGTGAAGTCGCAGTTACAATCACTGATACGGAACATTACCAGAAACAAAACACAAACCCCACAGGAAAACATCAGTAATAGGCTCCTTCAGAGATAACGACCATCACTGTTTCTCCATTGGGATCATTCAAACCTAGAAAACACAACCTAGACACCCAACCTAGACATAAATATAGACGCACAATGTAACTAATGGTGCCCAGGGTGTCAGTACCCCCCCCTAAATTGAACCGACCCCCGGCCCCCGCCCCCTTTTCCCCAAAACCCCCAAAAAAGGGGGGGGGAAGGGATTTTTGGGGGATAACCCCTTTCCTCGGTTTGGGGGTTTCTGGGGCTTCCGGGGGCCTAGGGGGGGGGGCCCCCCAACTAACAACTTAGGTTGACAGAAACATATCGAGGGAAAACCAACCACAGCAGTGTACAATAGTTTGTGAAAAGGTCACGTTATACAACTAGCCTTGTTAAATCGGACTGCTCACCATTGCTTCACTACACAAACAATGGTGAGCACAGTGTTCAGTCTGGTTGAGCCAGGCTACATTACAAGACTGGATCAAACCTTTCTAACACCCCAGGGGATCCAGTGTGTTGCTTCATTAACAGAACAAGACCATGTCTTTTTCCATCTACCTCTGAGGACTGTATGAGTGATACCCCGCTGATTAGTTTATGATCAATTTGACCTACTTCTCTGGACTAGCATCATATTACATTTTAAACCACTCATCTGGGTGCTACTGGAAATGGTTCAAACTGTGTGGTCCACAACCCACTTTCAGGGGAACATTGTCACTGATTACACTGTAATCTCACACAGGAAGTTGTACAACACTGGTTATTATTCTGACTGATGGACAATACCTGGCCCATGAACATATGCGCACACATACATTTGTGCCCGTCCACACACATAAATACGAACACAACACCCCACACACACGCACGCACACACGCTTCAGTGCGACAGTTCCCGCTGTTCTCCAATCTGCTGTGACATACTGTCGAACAAAGAATAGAAGACCATCAATAATAACAACAGATGGACTGTGATAAACAACTTACTTGATATCTGTTGTCATTCTTTGACGTCAGGCCAAAGTATCGCTCTGAAAATGCTGAAGCTGCATATAGAGAAAGTAGACAACATTTCAAAAATATATTCAGTTCTTTCATCTCCAATTTCATTGATAATCAAATTTTTACAATATTAACTGTCGTTTGTTGTGGGAAAATGTACTCACACAAAACACATAGCACCGGTTTCATAATCCTAGATTGAGCCTAAACCTAGATTAAAAAGCTAGTTCAATGGAGATTGTCAATTGAGCTTAATTTTCAATCCAGGAGTAGGTTTAATCTCTGTCAAGGAAACTGACCTAAAGGGTAGGATCATGGAGACATTACTCACCATAGAGTTTCCAGTCAATCACTGGGGAATTAGCAGCTGCACACTTAATCAGTGCAGTGGACCTCAGAAGCATCAAAGTGAGGTAAGCACCATATCCCTGGAAAGAAAAGAACACCTTCACTTGTTGAAAAACACCCGTGAGTGTGAAGCATGGCGATCAACTGAAAGACAGCAGTTAAACTTGCCTTTCCGTAGATTCCGATCCGTGCGCGGTCAATGTATGGGAGTGTCAACAAGTATCTGTAATAAGTAAATTAAAAAAACAACCCCAAAAAACATAATTACTCATTATTTTTACAGACATCTCATGAGGGCTTTAACACAGATGACTGACAGGGAAGTTAAAGAGTGTACAACCATGTCATACATTTGCAATGGATTTCAATGGAAATGGGCAAATATTGTATCATACAGTATTACATCATATCGTACCATATCACATCCTGTCTTATCTTATGGTGTTGTATTATATCATATTGAATGGCATAGCATCGCACTGTATATCGCATTACATCTTATATATTGCATTGTATATCGTATCATATAATACTGTCCATCGCATCGTGTATCATATTGTATTGTATATATATATATACTACCAGTCAAAAGTTTTAGAACACCTACTCATTCAAGGGTTTGTCTTTATTTTTTACCAGTTTCCACATTGTATAATAATAGTGAAGACATAAAATAACACACGGAATCATGTAGTAACCAAAAAAGTGTTAAACAAATCAAAATATATTTTATATTTGAGATTCTTCAAATAGTCACCCTTTGCCTTGATGACAGCTTTGCACACTCTTGGTATTCTCTCAACCAGATTCATGAGGTAGTAACCTGGAATGCATTTTAATTAACAGGTGTGCCTTCTTAAAAGTTAATTTGTGGAATTGCTTTCATTCTTCATGCGTTTGAGCCAATCAGTTGTGTTGTGACATGTTAGGGGGGGTATACAGAAGATAGCCCTATTTGGTAAAAGACCAAGTCCATATTATGGCAAGAACAGCTCAAGTAAGCATAGAAAAACAACAGTCCATCATTACTTTAAGACATGAAGGTCAGTCAATCCGGAAAATGTCAAGAACTTTGAAAGTTTCTTCAAGTGCAGTTGCGAAAACCATCAAGCGCTATGATGAAACTGGCTCTCATGAGGACCGCCATAGGAATGGAAGACCCAGAGTTACCTCTGCTGCAGAGGATAAGTTCATTAGAGTTACCAGCCTCAGAAATTGCAGCTCAAAGTTCAAGTAACAGACCCATCTCAACATCAACTGTTCAGAGGAGACTGTGTGAATCAGGCCTTCATGGTCGAATTGCTGCAAAGAAACCAATACTAAAGGACATCAATAAAAATAAGAGACTTGCTTGGGCCAAGAAACACGCGCAATAGACATTAGACCGGTGGAAATGTGTCCTTTGGTCTGGAGTCCAAATCGGAGATTTTTGGTTCCAACTGCCGTGTCTTTGTGAGAAGCAGAGTAGGTGAACGGATGATATCCGCATGTAATGGTTCCCAACGTGAAGCATGGAGAAGGAGGTGTGATGGTGTGGCGGTGCTTTACTGGTGACACTGTCTGTGATTTATTTAGAATTCAAGGCACACTTAACCAGCATGGATACCACAGCATTCTGCAGCAATACGCCATCCCATCTGGTTTGCACTTAGTGGGACTATCATTTGTTTTTCAACAGGACAATGACCTAAAACACACCTCCAGGCTGTGTAAGGGCTATTTTACCAAGAAGGAGAGTGATGGAGTGCTGCATCAAATGACCTGGCCTCCACAATCACCCAACCTCAACCCAATTGAGATGGTTTGGGATGAGTCGGACCACAGAGTGAAGGAAAAGCAGCCAACAAGTGCTCAGCATATGTGGGAACTCCTTCAAGACTGTTGGAAAACATTCCAGGTGAAGCTGGTTGAGAGAATGCCAAGAGTGTGCAAAGCTGTCATCAAGGCAAAGGGTAGATACTTTGAAGAATCTCAACAATAAAATATATTTTGATTGTTTAAGACTTGTTTGGTTACTACATGATTCCATATGTGTTATTTCATAGTTTTGATGTCTTCACTATTATTGTACAATGTAGAAAATAGTAAAAATAAAGAAAAACCCTTGAATGAGTAGGTGTGTCCAAACAGACCAATAGTAAATGCACTGAAAGAGGGTACATTTTTTTTAGCACATCTTCTCATTCTTGAGATGATTTCATTTCAATGATGTATTACATCTATTCAATACGGATGGGTAAGATACACTGGAGCTGAATAGGGCTAACAGTTACTAGAATGCAGCTGAAATGTCTGGTGTTATTGAGTAGAATATTTTGACATACAGAATGTGCATTTCTTCATGGGGAAAATGTTTTAGAATAATTTCTCACCTGTGCACGTACCCTGGACTCCGACATTGCTCATCCTAATATTTCTATATTTTTTAATTCCACTCTTTTACTTATAGATGTGTGTGTATTGTTGTGTATTATTAGATATTATTGCACTGTTGGAGCTAGGAACACAAGCATTTCGCAACACCCGCAATAACATCTGCTAAATATGTGTATGCAACCAATAACATTTGATAATATTATATCACATCTCATCACATCACATGCTGGTCGGAGGCTACATACTCCAGTGCAGCTATCTGGTCCTGAACCTCCACAGTACCCAGGCGCTGGTGGACCTGCTGCAGGACTCTCAGGCCCTGGAAGCCTGTCCCCCTGCCATCCAGCCTGGCCACGATCACCTCATCACAACTGACCAGCACCGAGTCCCAACCCAGCTCATACTCATCACTCACCGACTGACTGCCAGGCCCACCATCACTAAGAGAGGGGGGGAAGTGGGGAGGGAGGGAGAGAGAGAGAGGGAGAGAGAGAGAGAGGGAGAGAGAGAGAGAGAGAGAGAGAGAGAGAGGTAAAAAAAATAATTGTGTTAGTTCTCAAGGTAAAGTATTCAGTTCTAAATGTATTTTTAAATGAAAATGTACTGTAACTATGTTAGAATGCCAGGAAAGAGGAGCGATGCTTACACAATCAAAAGAAGGCCATAGAGAAGAGATTCAGAAAAGTCAAGCGGATAGGTGAGCTTCAAAGGCAGCTCTGTGGGAATAAATTATTTAAGTACAGTTATTAAAATAAACTATATACCGTAGAGAGAGAGAGAGAGAGAGAGAGAGAGAGAGAGAGAGAGAGAGAGAGAGAGAGAGAGAGAGAGAGAGAGAGAGAGCGAGAGAGAGAGAGGGGGAGAGTGAGAAAAATAAAGAAATATACACAGAGAGAAATGGTTAGTTACCAAAGTCTTCACTTAGAATAACCCTGACATCTGATTTAGAGATCTTTTTATTTTCCAAGGCAGCTCTCAGAGGCATGTTGTTGTCCAAGATAAAGTAAGCTGTGGGAAGAAAGTGTGAAAGTAATCATTCACATACTGTGTGTTAAGAGACACAAGGATACTGATTATATGGCGTATTAAACTGTGATGGGAAAAGCAATCAACAGATTGTTTCAAGAAACACATTCATTTCAGTTTTACATTTTTCTAATACAGTTGATTGACTTCACATAGGCCACTGCATCTAAATCACGTCCTGTGATTCTTTGTTTTAGACTGTCACCTATCACATCATTTCAGTACAATTATGCCTCATTTTCAGTCTCATTGAAAAGCATCCAGGCATAAAAAACACAAATCAATACAATTTGCATTAAAAACACTTCCCAGATGCTCATTTAAACCTTGGCAGAACATTCCATTTGGATAGCTGTTAAAAATGTATTTCACATGACGTGAAACACAGCCAACAACCTCTTGGCCAAATATGAAATACGAACCATTGAAACAGACTGGAAATAGTACAGGACAGTACAGGAGAGGAGAGTTCATATCAATACTTAGTATTACTCACTGTTTACATCATTAAAACTCTGCAGCATCACAGATGGAGCACCGGGACCTGTGGAACAGAAGATACTCTAGCAATAATGCATAGCATCGTTTTGAGACTGAACAAACGTTCAGTATGATATTCTAACGTGGGCTTCTAGCAGTATTGTAGTACCCTAGCCTATGTAAGCCCAACGACGTCACCGGTGGGATATACTTATTGCAGCAGTGGTTACATCATGGCATAATTGACATAATGACTCCCTAAGCATACCTCATACATTACCCAGAATCAGTTGTGTTTTACTACAGTGGCTATATCATATCCACATAAAGCTGTATTTGGCTGAATGATTTCCAGAAGGAAAAACACAGACCAGACTCTTACCTTTACACTGTAGAATAACATGCTGTTTGTTCGGGCTGATGTCTGCATCAAAGAACGTGCATGCTTCCTGGTTCATCTCACAGGTCAAACATCGTTGAGAGAACAGACCAATAGTAGATGCACTGAAAGAGGGAAAACATTTTTAGATGATTTCATTTCAATGATGTATTACATCTATTCAATACGGATGGGTAAGATACACTGGAGCTGAATAGGGCTAACAGTTACTAGAATGCAGCTGAAATGTTTGGTGTTATTGAGTTGAATATTTTGACATACAGAATGTGCATTTCTTCATGGGGAAAATGTTTTAGAATCATTTCTCACCTGTACACGTGTCTCTTTTGTGGGGAGTCTTGAGTACTGATAAAATATCTATATGGGTGAAAGCAGAACAACTTTAACTAGGGCAAGTACAAGAAACTATAGTTACAAATAGAATAGTTTGACCAGAAGAGATGTTTGAAAAGAGAAAAAAGGTAAACACCTGTTGAAGCTCATATCTATAACACAAAATATGATATTAAATGACTCTCATAACTGATCTGAAATAATCTGACAGACTTACATGGTTTGCTCTTCCTCATCATAGGCTAATATCTTGGTCACCTCCCAGTTGCCTGACGTCAAGTGACGGACATCACTTTGATCACTTCTGAACTGAGAAAAGACAAATTATTATTTTTTTGATAAAAACATGTACAAAAAAAAGAAACAAAGTGAGCGCTGACAAAGCAGGAGAATGACAAGATGACCAATGTGTATTTCGGAATTGGAGTATGACAGCACCCACCGATTTGGTGAACATGGCAATATGATGGAAGTCTCCTTGTCCCCCCTGCTTCACTGGTATGGTCAGGAAAAACCTGCTCCCGTCCTTTGAAAACACTGGCTCCTGGTTCTGAAGATATTGGATTTAAGGGACAGTCAAAGTGCATCGATATCCTCTTTACTATTAGCATATAGATACAATACTCACTGTTTTGAAATTGCAGCACAATTTGGAACACATCAGGCCCATTGTAGCATTCAAATAAAATGTTACTAGATGGAAATATGAATTGCTAATATTATAGAACATTTACATTTCAGTTTACCTGTCTGGTGAGCCAGAGATCTGAAGCTTCCTCATGTTTCTGAAATTCAAGTGGAGGAACACGTCTTAGATCCAACATGGAGTACGACACAGATGATACCAATAAAACCTGTTTCTAGTGAGGACCATCTTAGCGTAGGTGAAGGAAAAAAACCCACCTGTACACAGGACCCGATGGTGGCGTCACACACAGTAAGGAAGGACATGTTTTGGGGCCGGTTGAGCCATCGAACTGCTGCATGGGTGTTGCTGATCCATTTCACCATCCCTACATAGTGTTCTCTGGGTCAATGTGAGACAAACATTCAGACGTATAGCAACTACTTCTCCGGGCTATTTCATATTTCTGAATGATAGTTGTGTACTTGATCAAACATGCACAATCAGGGGAAGACTGGCCTTCTGGCATTTCGGGTAGATGCCAGATGGGCTGGTCCATTTTTAGCAAATGGGCCTCTCTAACTTGGATTTTTCACGCAAAATTATTACTTTCTGGCTAATAATGGGGGCCTCAATGAAAAAAATGGGCCAGTGTAGGGGCCTCGAGGAATATAATGGGCCGGTCTGGGGGTCTCAAGGAAAAAAATGGTCCGGTGTGTTAGAAATGCCAATACTGATTTCTGGTCCCAGTATGCTCCTGGAAACAATGAAACATGCATACATGCAGATTCAAATGTCCTATACTGGTTATAATGGTTAGTAAAGAAATAACCTGCAAAGAATAACCTGACATGCCTGTTAGCAGCACAACAATTACAAATGCAGAGTAAAAGAACTAAGGGGCTGCCAGAATGTTGAGGCTTCCTCACCTTCCTCTCAGGCCATCGGGTGGTACCAACTCCTGAGTGTGTGTGGGGCCGTACAGGTTCACCACCAACAGCCTGACTGTAGGGTTGGGCTGGCCAGCCTGTCAGCAAACAGATCCTCATAATGTCAATTATTAAGCATGCTGAGAAAAACAAATTCTGTTGCTACACCGCGTTCAAATCAAGGTGCATTAACAGTGGAGTAAATTGAAGCTGTAAGATATTCAGCAACTCATAATAAATTATGCTAACAATCAATGCTTCAAATGACCTCACAGGTTATTATCTTCTTATCATTGTTTTGCCTGGACCATTTGGATGTCTGTCCTAGCTTAACATCCAACAAGAGATTATCTCAGAGCAAATCATCTATTTTTTAAATCCTTGGAGTTAAGGACTGAACTGGCAGAATATCATTGTGAATACTTCATACAAGCAGGCTGCTTCGTTCCGGCAGATTTAGATATGTTAGAAGTAGGGCTGGCACGGTTATTCTATAATCGTGTAAACAACGATTATGGATGAAGACCGTCATTTTCAAGTCGACAAACTTTACCTAAAAGCAGTCAAGTAAAAGTAAGTCTGGTTCACATCGAACAGCCGATTGTACTCCTGAGTGGCGCAGTGGTCTAAGGCACTGCATCGCAGTGCTAACTGTGCCACTAGAGATCCTGGTTCGAATCAAGGCTCTGTCGCCGCCGGCCGCGACCGGGAGACTCATGGGCGGCGCACAATTGGTCCAGGGTAGGGGAGGGAATGGCCGGCAGGGATGTAGCTCAGTTGATAGAGCATGGCGTTTGCAACGCCAGGGTTGTGGGTTCGATTCCCACGGGGGGCCAGTATAATAAAAATATGTATTCACTAACTGTAAGTCGCTCTGGATAAGAGCGTCTGCTAAATGACGTTAATGTAAATGTTAATGTAAGGAGAGATGAGAGGAGCGAAAACTAGCCCATCTTGGAATTTTGTGTTCTGGAACGAACAGCTGACTGTAGACAGCCGGGCATTCAAAAAGACGAGATGTGCAGTCAGGAGCGAGAGGAGAAGATGTGCTTATTTTTTTTGCTATTCGAAAGGTTATACTTGTAACTATAACTGGGATCATTTGGCTGACAAAGAACCGTAATCCAAAATTCCATAACCGTCACAGCCTTTGCCAGAAGCGCTATTACCTCCTCCTATAAAATCTAAGCAGGGTTCTGATCATTTTGTCTAATCATTTATTCAGTTTCCAATTTCCCTTTTGTTGCGACTCCATAAATACTTGATCTATCAGAATATAAGACCTTTATGTGTGCAGTATTTCTAACCAACACTATGCACAGGGTAATCGAGATACCTGGATAGCTATAGTTGTTGTATCGACATGCAGTACATGTAATACAGTACATCAATCGATAGCACAGGAACATGACTTCCAAAGCTCAAATCTAGTATACTGTGTGAATCAACAAAGACATACAATAGTTATATAATCAGAACTGAAAGAACTGTTTCTTGAGCCAGCAGTTTTTGTTGTTGTTGCTAAGACCAATAGTGTTTTTTTTCCAACAAACAAGCACAATTTCACCAATGTGGGCAACATAGTGACACAGACAGATACATGCACTTTCTTCAGCAGCATGCTATCCTATCCCATTATATTGTGTCATTCCATTACCTTGGGGTACGGGTACTCCTGTGATTTGGGGTAGGGGCTGCCAGTGAACCGGGGCAGGAACATGTTGGGTACTAGGGTATCGTTGATCATGAGGAAGGCCAGTCTCTCTCCATCAGGTGACCACCAGTGGGCTATGTGTGACTGCAGAATCTCCTCTAAAAACACAAGGACCAAACTACCATCAATCACACACTGAACTATACTATAGTTTTTTTTCCAATCTAGTCCTATCCACATGAATATATGCTTCTTCTGTACACCAGTCCTTGACGTTGCTATATATATATATAAGATCAATATGTTATTGTAAATGAAGTCAAGAGAAAGTTTGAATGTGTATCTGCATCAATTGTAAATCTGTGTTTTACACAACCTTGTTGAAAATATGTCAAAAGGATGATTTTTTTTATTTTTATGGAACTTGTTTTGGGCTGATGTAGATAAAATAAAATGAGTCTTAATTAAGTCAGAGCTAAAATCCATCATTAAGGTGTAATTAATAAGTGCAAATTATGAATAAAATTGTCCCTGCTATCCAAGAGCATGGAACAATGCGTGGATTATGGCCCATTCATGAGAAGACTTAACACTGCTGTAGTGAAATAATGACTTTCCTTCATCTATATTTAATTAACTTTAATCAAAATTCTGAGTTAGTTCTCATTTATTCAATTATTCTTCGGAAATGGGACTAATATGGTTAGTAGTGTTAATTTTGAATTCTTATTCCATCCGTCCCTGAATGCGACCGAGAGCCGTTCAACTGTGAAAGTGATGAATTCCTTTGTGGCTGAACATGATTTATTTCCAGTACCTGGCATACCTTTCCTGACATTGTGTCCTTGGGTATGCCGTGAACCTGTCAATTGGCATTCAGACAAACCTTCATACAACCAGTCAGCGATTCCATTAAATATGACTCCTTCCTCTCCCGACGACGTAATCCTAAGAGAATTGCTCTGCACATCTGATTGGTAATAGATGTTGTTTTCAAAGATGTAGATCTGAAATGAGAAGGAGCAAAGAGAATTGCAATTGTGCTTTGAACGGTGGCTATAAAAGTATAGCTCAGCAAAAGCCAGACTCTGATACCCATCATTCTCCTGCTACAATACAGCACTAGTTCACTGCCAGGGAAATATGGTAGTGATTTTATTTTACATGATGACTTATTTCCATTTATGATCCATATCAGGAATTAAAGTGCACTGTAATAGGTAGTATTGATTCATTATTCTATATTGCTAAACTTCAGTATTCTCTTTTTCAGTCAGTTCCTTTCACACGTTCACTTTTGTTCCCTTTTAACAATCAAGTGTGCTTCGTTAGGCCGCCAGATGTTCAGCCAGACAAAAATCACATGCTGGGTTTTGTTTGTGACCAAACAAACTCTGAACAGAGTAACAGAAGCTCAAAGACGTCTGGTCCAGATAAGTGTAGTCTGCATCCCCATCTGTAACAGGACCACCTGCTGTCAAAATGGCTGCCTGATATACAGCAAATGGTGCTTTTTACTCCTTCACATGAGAAACTGTACCACAACTGGCTATCACAAGAAATATAAATATGGCAAATTTGATACAAACCCCTAGTGTGTCGACTGGGTTTGAAACCGGGTCTCCTGCATGCCAGAATTGCACATTCAACACATCTTGATGGCACCCTGTGCCAAAGCCATCGATAATGCTCACACCTATCAATTTCTTTCATATGTGTGATGAGGCATCTATGACCGTCTAGGAGTTGTGCCCAGAGGTTGATTTCAGATTGGGCGAGAGAGAGAGAGAGTGAAAAGAGGAAGTGTATGGCATCATAGAAGAGGAGAGGAGGGGAGAGACTCACCAGCTGCTGTCTCTTCACACCCCACGCCGCATGCTGAAGCACTGCATTCTGGACCTCAGGAGGATTCAATTCCCACACCTCCCTGAAACACAAGCACGCACACAAAAGCACACACAGACACAAAGACGGGCAGACAGGCATGAACAAACCCCATCTGTTGTTGAACTGGAGATGTCAAAGATTGGGTGTATCATTCGTAATACAGTATGTTCTTCAGTTACAGGAGTGTGGGGGTATGCATGTCAATACAAGACATGAAGCATCAACCAGTCCGTTCTGTCTCTTACCTTGTGTGGATGTTGTAAACGATGTACGATGCAGTATAGGAATGTCTATACACCTGAAATTAAAAGTACTGACCATTAATGTGATAATAAATAATGAAAAACAATAAAGCATACATGATGCAAATGAATCATGTCAGAAACCATGTCGGGATTCCACAATGTAATTGTTTCCAAAAGGAATTCAAAACTGTGTTAGCCCACACAGCTCAGGAAGCCAATGCAAGTCTTCAGTTGTCAGGCAAGGTTAATCATCACGCAAACTTGGTTGCACACCACCTTTGATACTGCATAATAATAATGCATAACACAACTAAACAAAATTTGCGCCTAAGTCCATTCTCTAGGAAATCCCATGATGGTGCAATGTTTCCAAACCTTGGTTGTCAGCGATCCAGCCATTAAACAAAGTGGAAATCAATGAGAGATCCTTGATTTGGGTCTAACATTAAAACGGAAAACTGCATAAACAATGAATAAAGAATAAAGAAAGAGAAAGAAGATACAACTCAATGAGGTTAGTACACCTGCCATTAACCCAGGTGGTGCAATCAGATTTCTGATCAGAGCCTATTTGCTGTTTGTTCTCCTTCCTGTCAAACTATGGGTGAATCCCAATTGTAATTTCCTTGAATCCTCGCATCCTCTCTCCTCACCTTCTTCAAACGCATTGAAACAGAAGATCTGAGATTTTCTTCAGACCTTATCCACCTATGCATTCTGAGAAGGAGGCGAGGAGAAAGGAGGCGAGGAATCAAGGAATCAAGGAATTACAATTGAGACTCAGCCTATGCTTAGGGTAATTGGAAACACTGATTAACTCTGTAGCTCCATTTTTCTTTTGGTTGGCTCAAACATTTGCACTGCATTCATGTTTGGTTATTTGCTAGGGATCAAGACTTATATAATTATCTGTTAGCCTGTTAGAAAGGTGATCCATATCTCATGCTGCTCTGGTGGAAGAAAATTGTATTCATTTGACTGTTGGTGTACTAATGATGCCCTGAGACGTTGTACTGTATGTGTTATGTAACTGTTATTGGAAAAGCCTAATGGTAATTAATAAACAACAGTCATTTAACGAGTATTCATATCCTACCTGTTTCACTTCGTAAGCAAATAGCACATATTTCATGTCTGGAGAAAGAGAATATTTGGCAACTTTGAAAGACACCTAGGACAAGGGAAAGACAGTTAGAAGTCACAAATAATACATATAAAGGTTAATACATATTGTACATAGATCTAGGAAGTATCTTGTACATAGATCTAGGAAGTAATTCAGATGATGGTAAACCATTACACAGCTTGTATACTTTGCCCGTTAGGGCCACCGTACAATTACAATCCCAGGCATATGACCATCCACCTAAAATTGTAGCTAGTATTGCTAAACATTAAACAGGGATGAATGGTGTCCTCCTTTCCCCCCCAGTTAGATAATTAAATGGCAAAAAGCAAGTCTGCTAATGACAGTCCAAAGCTGCTTAGGCCATGAGCCTTATGCAACACATAAAACATGACCTGTCAGATGGGTATTCTTAATATTTTTTTTTTATATATTTTTTTTCTCAAACAATAACAACCATACATAAACAAAAGACAATAAACAGACGGACACACATTTCAACAAACATCAATGACATCACACCTGCTCAGACCCACATGTTCCCACCGCAACCATACACATCACATATGTCTCACAACCACACACCCCGTCATCCTTCATCCCCTGGAACTTTCCAGTGCTTGCAGCACTCTATGCCATTGTTTTCTCCGTAGCCCACACCTTTTCAATATTTAAATAATAATAATAATAATTCAGATATATCACAATGCTACCGAAGGCAAATAATGACAATGTGCTCATCTTTGATATTTGTATGCAATATGGTACTGTGTTATGAATGCTGATGGATCAATATGGTACTGTGTCATGAATGCTGATGGATCAATATGGTACTGTGTCATGAATGCTGATGGATCAATGTGGTACTATGTCATGAATGCTGATGGATCAATGTGGTACTGTGTCATGAATGCTGATGGATCAATGTGGTACTGTGTCATGAATGCTGATGGATCAATGTGGTACTGTGTCATGAATGCTGATGGCTCAATATGGTACTGTGTTATTAATGCTAATGGATCTATATGGTACTGTGTTATGAATGCTGATCGGTCAGTTGAGGTTAGAGAGGGGGACCCATAGGTGGCAAGCTACTTACAAATATGCTGTTTCTCAGGACAATTTCTGTTTCGTTTAAAGCAAAGTTGAACTTGATGACGTGGCCGTCTCGGTTCCTGTACAAAACCTCTGAATCTGTAAAATTATACAAGAACATTTTTGTAAAATGATAACCATATTTTAGATAAGAAATAAATAGGCCTACACATTCTGACACTGTATATCCACTTATCAATATTCATGTCAGACCCCAAAGAGAGAGAGGGAGAAGGAGATGGAGAGAGGGGGGAGAGGGTTATCTTAGTCCCACATCGCCAGACTTACTGGCACTTCATTTTCCAGCAGTTCATTTCAAGAGTGCCTCTCCTCATTTCTACTGAGCAAAACCTTTTAGACCTGCAGTCAGCCAGCCAGTCAGCCAGCCAGACAGCCACATTATTGCAATGGCTTCCTTGTGTTCTGCATTACAAATCTCACTATCTACCTTTAGGAAGATGGCTCCCAATTCACAGTTGTTGGCTCGGGCAGTTGCTCTGAGTAAAAATGTGATCTTAAATGCAGCCACGTAACTGGTATGCTAAACCATGCAGAACAAGTGTAAAATGGTTGGTCAGCATTATATTATATTATATATTATAAATTAGAACTGAATTCCTCAAATAAATAAAAAATAACAATGGAAAATTGAATAGAAATCTACAAAGCCACCTAGCAATGCCCAAACGTTTTGGTTTTTGCCCTAGCACTACACAGATGATTCAAATAATCAAAGCTTGATGATGAGTTGGCTATTTGAATCAGCTGTGTAGTGCTAGGGCAAAAAAACAAAACGTGCACCCAGGGGGGACCCCAGGACCGAGTTTGGGAAACACTGGCCTACTATAGACCATTTAGCAATACTTTCATTTCAGGAGAACTAGGAATAGGACAACCAACAAGCCCAGTTTAAAGCCTGTAGCCTATGTGGTGAGTCATATTATCTAGCTGGAGTTCATGTGACACTATAACCTTTAAATGGCCTTTCGCTTAGCCACTGCTGTCTCTGCCTCGGTGACATATAGAAATATATTTGTATTTAGTTAATTAAAATTCCTCCTATGTCCACAAGGCTAGGCAATTATAATCTTTAAATAGCCTTCCTCACATGACATCCAACCACTATCTATGTAGACCATAATCAGGTAAAATGAGTGTTGTGGTCCTGTGTGGCTTAGTTCATAGAGTATGGCACTAGCAACATCAGAATCATGGGTTAGATTCCCACTGGGGCCACCCATGCAAAAATGTATGCACTTTGGATAAAAGCATCTGCTAAAAATATGTCTTCCAATTTGAGATACTACTATGGTATTAATGAATAGAAATACATGTATCAGTCACCAAAACATTGACATGAAAATATATATGAATACAGAGGAGTAAATGAATAATGAATTATTACAGAGACATGTCAGAGGTTATGGAATCACATATGTTGGTAGTCATGATCATGCTTGGCACATGTATGGACAAGTTAATAGGGTATGACTGTGGTGATGAAGTTGATGCTATATTGAATCACTCATCATATCCCCCATGGTATACCTAGCATGGCTTCCAATCTAATGTCTCTCATTCTAGTATAATATACACTTCATATTCTATATAAATGTATGGACAACCACTTCATATTCTAAATGTATGGACAACCACTTCATATTCTATTTGGGCTCCCGAGTGGCGCAGCGGTCTAAGGCACTGCTTGAGGCGTCACTACAGACCCCCTGGTTCGATTCCAGGCTGTATCACAACCGTGATTGGGAGTCCCATAGGGCGGCGCACAATTGGCCCAGCGTCGTCCGGGTTTGGCTGGTGTAGGCCGTCATTGTAAATAAGAATTTGTTCTTAACTGACTTGCCTAGTTAAATAAAGGTAAAACATTTAAATAAATGTATGGCCAACCACTTCATATTCTATATGTATGGCCAACCACTTCATATTCTATATGTATGGCCAACCACTTCAAATTCTATATGTATGGCCAACCACTTCATATTCTATATGTATGGCCAACCACTTCATATTCTATATGTATGGACAACCACTTCATATTCTATATATATGGCCAACCACTTCATATTCTATATGTATGGACATCCACTTCATATTCTATATGTATGGCCAACCACTTCATATTCTATATGTATGGACATCCACTTCATATTCTATATGTATGGCCAACCACTTCATATTCTATATGTATGGACAACCACTTCATATTCTATATGTATGGCCAACCACTTCATATTCTATATGTATGGACAACCACTTCATATTCTATATGTATGGACATCCACTTCATTTTCTATATGTATGGACAACCACTTCATATTCTATATGTATGGACAACCACTTCATATTCTACATGTATGGACAACCACTTCATATTCAACATGTATGGACAACCACTTCATATTCTACATGTATGGACAACCACTTCATATTCTATATGTATGGACATCCACTTCATTTTCTATATGTATGGACAACCACTTCATATTCTATATGTATGGACAACCACTTCATATTCTACATGTATGGACAACCACTTCATATTCAACATGTATGGACAACCACTTCATATTCTACATGTATGGACAACCACTTCATATTCTATATGTATGGACAACCACTTCATATTCTATATGTATGGCCAACCACTTCATATTCTATATGTATGGCCAACCACTTCATATTCTATATGTATGGACAACCACTTCATATTCTACATGTATGGACAACCACTTCATATTCTATATGTATGGCCAACCACTTCATATTCTACATGTATGGACAACCACATCGTATTCCACTAACGGGGTAAACAGAGTGTGTATGGTGTTCACATTTCCGAGGCTATATTTGGTATGAAAATTGTGTCCTCTTCCCTGATTAAAACACATGAAGACTTGTTCTGACTAATATGTTGTGTGAAAATGTAGGGTTAGTTTACATTTACATAAGTCACATATACAGTACATGCCTCTGGCCAGAACAAACAGTTATTTATCGTTCCCCAGATTGTCAACAATTATATACGACCCATACAATATATTCAGAAAATCGATAAATAGGGCATATAGTTTCCATGGTTACACAAATTAATTGTATGAGATTTAAATGAATTGTTGGGATGCAGGCTGTTTGGAATTTCATGTAATGTATGCACTAGAAAATAACAAGGGCCACTAAATATCATGATCAGCAAGTGTAAATTTACTTTTACAGCACTGTTTACAGCATGTGAAATTAACACTAATTTCTACTTTTTGGTACTTAGGTTATGGACTAGAAATGACAACATGTGATACACAGTTAGTGATGATCATGTCAAACACGTGTTAAAAAAATACAATTCAGTTAACATGTATGCGATTGTGAACACTAGTTTTATAAATGTAATAGCCTAAACCTGAGCAGCTTTCCTAAGGTGTTCTGTCTACTTAGAACTAGTCTGATAGTGTTGTAGCATAGCATGCTAGCCGCAGGCAGACAGGGAGCACTCACCAAGATAATCGCCCCAAATGTAATGAGGTCCTAGCAGGAACTGTCTCTACAGCTGTGCCATGGCAGACCACTGCCCTTCACCATTACATCACTGTCTGTCTGTCTGTCTTTCTGTCTTTCTGTCTGTCTTCATACCACCTGATAGCTTGGCTCTAATCACTATGCTAAGTAGCCTACACATCAATCTCACCAATATTTACCACTAAAACGTAATGTCAGCTAACATGAGAGAGGTGGTGATGAAATCACTAGTCATTATATTTCTCATAGTGTTTTATGAGGGGGGGGGGGGGGTAGCAAAGTTTTATCGATGTGTCCTACAGAAGGAGAAACGTCAGCATGAGCTGACAAGGGGGCGGACGATATGGCTTGATCCATCACGGAAGGCGTTGTGAAAAATGACAGGAGGCCCATGAGAGTTAATGCAGTCCATCAGGTTAACACAGTGTGCGAGAAGGCATCACACCCCAATCCCCATAATGAGAATCAACAGGCGACTGAAAAAGTCATTTGTATTTGCTACCCTTCGATGGAAAGCTCTCCGCAGGCTTCCAGGCCTCCATTTCATATGCAGGCTGGAAGAGAGCCCGTTTGCTGTGTCCAAGAAGAGTGAAGAAGAACCACACTAGCTCAGACAACAGAACAGACACCAGTGCTGACACCCCAAACGATTCTCTCACACTATTAAGAAACCTGCTAGGTTTTAGAGAAAGGGGTATTGTTCTGGATATGGGGCTGGGAGATTTGACCTGAGAGTATATCCCAGATGAGCTCCCAGTGATAGCTTAAGATAGAGTCAATCCTGTGTTTTGGCAAACCAGACAGAATAGGGGCTTGACTGGGAGGCCATCTGTTTTACTGAGACGGGTCAGTAGGTGTTGCTCCCATGCCATGCTAAACTCTCAGCCGTCATTATAGCTCAAGATGAGATGAAAGCTTGCAGGAATACTCCCATGCTTGAGTTGAGAGGTTCAGAATGCTCTGCTTGTGAGTGAAACAAAGTTTTAAATGTATACCAACAACAAGCGAAAATCTAGGATTGAATAGTTTCTATATGAGAAGTAGTTTGGATTCTAGGATCATGTCAAGAGAATAGAATCTCTGTCACCCTCATCCAACTATCAGACAGAATGTAGCCTAATAGCTTCCAAAAACTAGCCAACCTGGTCACACCCTTTCTCTTATAATGGTAGCCTCCTTGGCAGACCCTTTGTGTGACTGCTGAGGGCTTATAAACTGTCGCTTTTGGGGGTGCTTTTTTTAAAGAAATCCAAACTTTTCAATCAGATTGAGAGGATAGAGATCAGCCTAAAGGCTTCATTAGAACAGGAGTGTTAGATGGTTATCCTGAAAGTACTTACCACTTATCCACCTGGCCTCAGGATCGTGCACGGAGAACTCTGGTTTAAACAGGTCCAGGACAGTAAGTCTGGAGTTAGCGGCACCAGGGAGTTCCACTGCAAATAAGATATTAGTGTTAGGCTAGTTATCAAAATATGGATTAGAGCTTGATGAGGATAAAATCACACAGGAAAATAACTGATGTTCACACACATAACAACAGTCAATATTACACTGATCATAAAACTGATTCGAAAAACTCAGGGCTCTGACTACATAACCTGACCAGGACAAATTCTGGTTCTTATATTTTGTTAGTTAGAATACAGGCCTACATTAACTATGACCCTAGAAAGAAACTCCATGAGGTCTCCTGGTCCCCTGGTGAGTACAGTACCTGGTGTGAGCACAAAGACAGACATGGTGATGAGGGAGCAAACCGCCACTATGACCAGCAGGGAGATGGCTATTCCTTTGTAGTTCCTTGATTCAGGGCTTACTTGCACAAAGTCCTGGAAAAAACACACAAAGCAAACTGAGAACACTCTTCAACTAAGTAATGTAATGATTACTACCAGATATAAACATGTTTGGTAGTAGAGGTTCCTATGGAACATAGAGGCTCCTATGGAATGGCGAAATACTGTGTTCATATGAACTTGTGGATTGTCAATAAAACAATATTGTAAGATTCTAATTCTAAATTGTAATTAAGTAGAGTCCACTTTTGGTGTCAGCAATGGGATCCAACCCCACAACTTCCCGCAATATAATCCCTAATATAATGACAGTACTAGTTAGTCACTGCAAGCTTATGGTTTAATTAAATGGGATCACACTGCTGTCTATGGACATGTCTTTGTCTCAAAGCAGTAGGTGTCTACCTTTTCATGATGAGCATTCTGAATATGTCAAAGTGAATAGGCGTATGTCTAGCAATTTTTTGACTGACCAGAGCTGGCATGATTAGAGCTGAGAGGTGTATAGAAGAGTGTTACAGTACAACACCTAGCCTTCCTTTCGCAGTAGATAAGGGACGTAGGGAGGGCAGAGGGTGGTGGAAACACAAACTATTGATTGCTGTCAAGTAGCTATCTCCAGAGAAAATACTCCCTTAGACCTTCAAATGTCCCTTTCATTTCTCCTCTAAAAACACTGAGTCATAGCCACTGAGTCATAGAGGGAGATAGTTTTAACACGGCTTGTTGCATTGGTTTTTGGTATGTCTATAGTCTATACATAAATCAATTATGTCCATTTAATCTAATGTTGGAAGCATGTAGAATTATAGCTGTACACGGTTGGTTACATTGGTTTGGGTAAGAATGTAGAATTACAACTGCAAAAGCATACCGGATTTACATGGTTGGTTCACAGCCTGTAGCCTATGCCCAAATAATGTAATATGTATAACAACTATAAAACCAAACAGATTTTTGGTAAATGCAGATATCTTTATTTTATTTATTTTTTAATCATTTGCTAGTTGGTCATGAGGTGGTTATAACAAATCAATAACTAAAATATTTTTGACGCCAACATCCAGCCAATTATGTTTCCAGCCTGTTACATTTTGGAAACAAGCTCATTCATCAGAACAATGCAAATAGACAAGCATGGTCCAGCGCAAGGTAATCAACGCCATAAGAAACACTGCTGGGCAGACAAACAAACTAACGAGGTCATGATCCAGTCATGATCCAGGCAATTAATCTATTGATTAGCACTGAAAAGCATGAGTCATGGCTCTGCGAGTCTGAACCTGTTCGTCTAGTCTACTGTGGAGAACCTACTGTGCTCTCCCAAGAAACCAGTTAAGGAGAACATTGTTTTCACAAGGAGCAGAAACTCACTAGCCTGGATTTAAAGTAAATTGTTCTGTTTCAATTCACAAAATGTAAATAGAACAATTCTGTTTGGATCCAGGCTAGAAAGTACAGCTGTAGATATACAGTATACAGGCCTATGTAATTCTGTGCTTGACGTGAGAAATCTACTGTACACAAAACCATGTTTGCACACATCATCCAGTAGAATAGTGATTTTTGACAGACCATCTTCTCAAGGCACTGGGATTTAGGAGAAGAGTGAGGATTCCCCCTGCAGTCACTGAGTCTCATTAACTTCCTGACTGTGAGCCAGCCACTACAAACAAGTGCAATTAGGGAGAGTGAGGCCTTGCCAAGTCCTTACAGAACACATCTCCCTAGCCCTCCACTCTGCTGCCAGACTCTTCTTGTTTGTGACCACAGGGCCACCTGTCACAGTCTGGCCCCTAATGACCACTTTTATGAGTCCCAATTCCTAACAGATATTCATGTAAAGCTAGCTCTGGTCCAGGGTGTTAGTGTGGCTTGCTAACGCTGAGGCTGTGAAGGAAAACACACTCACACCCAGGACCAGAGCTAATGTTAATATCATTTTTAAAATTTATTTTTATTTTTTATTTCACCTTTATTTAACCAGGTAAGCCAGTTGAGAACAAGTTCTCATTTACAACTGCGACCTGGCCAAGATAAAGCAAAGCAGTGCGATAAAAACAACAACAACACAGAGTTACATATGGAATAAACAAAAACAAAACGTACAGTCAATAACACAATAGAAAATCTATATACAGTGTGTGCAAATGTAGTAAGTTATGGAGGTAAGGCAATAAATAGGCCATAGTGCAAAATAATTACAATTTAGTATTAACACTGGAGTGATAGATGTGCAGAAGATGATGTGCAAATAGAGATACTGGGGTGCAAATGAGCAAAATAAATAACAATGTAAATAACAATATGGGGGATGAGGTAGTTGGGTGGGCTAATTACAGATGGGCTGTGTACATTTATAGATACGTGCCAAGAAAATAGATGGGTTTGATCTACCAAGGCCCCCTACTCAGCCTTAACTCAGTCTAACCTGTCATGAATGTATTGAATCACACAGGTATGTGGAGTTACCCCTGGGCCGTATACAGTACATGCCCATAACTCCCTACTGGGCAGCTTTCAGTGAATTTTGAATTATTTAGAGATGAGCTGTGCTGTTGTAGTGGTTTCATTATGAGATCTTTTGGCAGTACATTCAGCTAGCCAGCCTCGCCATACATCAGAGCTGGGCTGTAGACAGGTATAGACTAGTAATGTCTCACTCTCTCCCTCTCGTTCATTGTATCCAGGCCATTGAAAAGAGAACCATGATGTGAGTGCAAAATAGGCAGCCTATAGGGAGGAGACCTGGCAGTGTGGTGCCAGGACAACAACCTCTCCCTCAATGTCAGCAAGACAAAGGAGCTGATCGTGGACTACAGGAAAAAGAGAGTTGAGCAGGCCCCCATTCACATCGACAGGGCTGTAGTGGAGCGGGTTGAGAGCTTCAAGTTCCTCTGTGTCCACATCACAAAATAATTAACATGGTCCACACAACCAACACAGTTGTGAAGAGGGCACGTCAGTGCCTCTTCCCCCTAAGGAGGCTGAAAAGATTTGGCATGGGCCCTCAGATCTTTAAAAACTTCTACAGCTTCACCATTGAGAGCATCTTGACTGGCTGCATCACTGCTTGGTACGGCATCTGCAAGGCACCCGACCGCAAGGCGCTACAGAGGGTAGTGAGTACGGCCCAGTACATCACTGGGGCCGAACTCCCTGTCATCTAGGACCTCTATGGTGTCAGAGAAGGCCCAAAAAATTGTCAAAGACTCCAGCCACCCAAGCCATAGACCGTTCTCTCTGCTACCGCACGGCAAGCGGAACCAGTGCACCAAGTCTGGAACCAACAGGACCCAGAACAGCTTATAAGACTGATAAACAAGACTGATAAACAAATGGCTACCCGGACTACCTGTATTGACCCTTTTTTGCACTAACTCTCTTGCACCTACTCTATGCACACACACTGGACTCTACCATACTCACACTGACATCCCCAACACACACATACACACAAATAGCACGAGCACACATGCATACTGACGCTACACACACACCCACGCTCACACACACATCCACACACACATTCACACTCAACACATATGCTGCTGCTACTGTCTATTATCTACAGTATCCTGTTGCCTAGTCACTTTACCCCTACCTAACGGTACATACAGTGGGGAGAACAAGTATTTGATACACTGCCGATTTTGCAGGTTTTCCTACTTACAAATCATGTAGAGATCTGTCATTTTTATCATAGGTACACTTCAACTGTGAGAGACTGAATATAAAACAAAAATCCAGAAAATCACATTGTATGATTTTTAAGTAATTAAAATTTGCATTTTATTGCATGACATAAGTATTTGATCACCTACCAACCAGTAAGAATTCCGGCTCTCACAGACCTGTTAGTTTTTCTTTAAGAAACCCTCCTGTTCTCCACTCATTACCTGTATTAACTGCACCTGTTTGAACTCATTACCTGTATAAAAGACACCTGTCCACACACTCAATCAAACAGACTCCAACCTCTCCACAATGGCCAAGACCAGAGAGCTGTGTAAGGACATCAGGGATAAAATTGTAGACCTGCACAAGGCTGGGATGGGCTACAGGACAATAGGCAAGCAGCTTGGTGAGAAGGCAACAACTGTTGGCGCAATTATTAGAAAATGGAAGAAGTTCAAGATGACGGTCAATCACCGTCGGTCTGGGTCTCCATGCAAGATCTCACCTCGTGGGGCATCAATGATCATGAGGAAGGTGAGGGATCAGCCCAGAACTACACGGCAGGACCTGGTCAATGACCTGAAGAGAGCTGGGACCACAGTCTCAAAGAAAACCATTAGTAACACACTACGCCGTCATGGATTAAAATCCTGCAGCGCACGCAAGGTCCCCCTGCTCAAGCCAGCGCATGTCCAGGCCCGTCTGAAGTTTGCCAATGACCATCTGGATGATCCAGAGGAGGAATGGGAGAAGGTCATGTGGTCTGATGAGACAAAAATAGAGCTTTTTGGTCTAAACTCCACTCGCCGTGTTTGGAGGAAGAAGAAGGATGAGTACAACCCCAAGAACACCATCCCAACCGTGAAGCATGGAGGTGGAAACATCATTCTTTGGGGATGCTTTTCTGCAAAGGGGACAGGACGACTGCACCGTATTGAGGGGAGGATGGATGGGGCCATGTATCGCGAGATCTTGGCCAACAACCTCCTTCCCTCAGTAAGAGCATTGAAGATGGGTCGTGGCTGGTTCTTCCAGCATGACAACGACCCGAAACACACAGCCAGGGCAACTAAGGAGTGGCTCCGTAAGAAGCATCTCAAGGTCCTGGAGTGGCCTAACCAGTCTCCAGACCTGAACCCAATAGAACATCTTTGGAGGGAGCTGAAAGTCCGTATTGCCCAGCGACAGCCCCGAAACCTGAAGGATCTGGAGAAGGTCTGTATGGATGAGTGGGCCAAAATCCCTGCTGCAGTGTGTGCAAACCTGGTCAAGAACTACAGGAAACGTATGATCTCTGTAATTGCAAACAAAGGTTTCTGTACCAAATATTAAGTTCTGCTTTTCTGATGTATCAA